AGACCTCCTCGAAGGTGGCCAGGACCTCCGATCGTCGACGGACCACTGCTTCCCCCGTCCTGGCCTTCGAAGCCAGGAAGCGCGGGCGCAAATGCGTCAGCTCGATGCCGTGTCCAGGAAGAAGGATTCGAACTCCTTGGTCTTCGAAAAAACTGCCTCCTCCTCTGGGGCAGGCTGCAACTCCCGGAAATTCGCCCCTGTGCCTGCCAACGGTGGCACCAACTGCTGCGCCCTCAACCCCAGACAGGTCCAAAAAGGAAGAATGAGGCACCGCGCGGACTCCAGCCCGTCGATGTAGAGGGAGGCTCCGACCATGGCGCAGAAACCGTTCCGCGGCAGCGGGGCTCGACTGAGCCCGGGCGCCAGCCTCCGAAAGCCCTGCGAGCGCCGTCTTGGGCCGACGCAACGCTTGCCCGCTGCGAATGCCCGGCGCGCGGCACTCCAGCGCCGCGATGGCCTTCTCGCCCGCGTCGCGGCTGTGGCCCTGGAAGTAGAGCCCCCCCCCCCCCCCGTGTGCCCCAACATGCTCAGGTCGATGTCCTCCGAGCCGTTGAGCTCCGAGCCGTTCTCGTTGGCCCGCTCCTGGGCGCCCCGAAAGCACCTGTCGCGCGTCGGGGCAGAAGGCCTCGTCACCTTGTTCACCTCCAGGAAATGCTGGCCAAACCACCGAGCCTCCGTGGCCCCTGACAAGTGGGCGCGGCGCTTGCCCTTGGCTCGCTGGGCGCGGAGCGCGTTCGCACTCGGGGTGCTGGCCTGTGTAGCAAGCCTTCTCCTAAGTAAAAAGGGCCTCGTCGGCGTCAGATCGCTCGCTGCTGGCGCGGCTCGAGTCGGCATCGTCGAACTCGATCTCCGCGACGCAGTGGTGGCCCCAACGCGCGAGGGGGCCTGGCCTAGACGCGCTGGCCGTCGTCGAACTCGCGGATAACCTCGCAATCAGCGGTGGTCCTGGCGAGCCCCACGACAGCAAGCTGGAGCGCGGCGCGCGCCTAGGGCCCTCGCCCTCCGCGTGGCCGTCGGCGTCCCGCGGGCCGCCTCCGCCGATGATGGGCAGCCCAGTTAAGGGCCTGGAGGAGGCGTCGGCAGCGTCGAACTCCGCGGGGGACCACCTCGAGACGAACTCCGAGTCTGAACATACGGCCGAGGCAGATAGCTGACGACAGTGCCTGTTGATGCCAACAATACTGGCCCGACCTTTACCCCGCGCCGAGATGAACCCCAAGTTGCCCCACAAGAAGAAGTGGCGATGAGAGAACTGACGAACGGACCGAATGCGATTCCTGGCAGCAACGACTGCGGCGCGCCCCCGCGCGACTGGTGCTCTCTGCTCGTCGCCGCGGGCCCCTCGCCTTCAGCCCCACTTGCTGAAATCTCCGATGTCGCCCCGAGCAACGTCGAACAGCTCGGGCGGTGTCTCGTCGGGGGGGGCGCGGCGAAGGGCGGAGGCGCCTCGGCTTCGCCGGAAAATGCGCGCTGGCGGGCGCTCGCCGAGCCCTCCGCGGCGCAGCCCCCGCGCTCGCTCTGTCGGCCCCAGCCTCGGACAATGTCCAGTGGTTCGGTCTTGGCGACGCGACCGCGCACGCGTCGCCAATGGCGCCGGCGCCCGCGGAATTGGACGCGGCGACGACTCGGCGCCGAGGGCGCTTGCTGTCCGCGCATGCCAAAGAGATTGCAACCATCATCGACCTCAGCTCCTACTCCACCACTGGCCGCAGCATAGCGCGTCTGCGGCTCGCGAAATGCACGAACCGACAGATGGCACGGGGAGTACTTGACAGACAGCGTCGCAAGAGAACAGACCATGTAGAATGGCCCACCACGCAATGCAGCAGCTCCCCCGTCACGCAGCCCTCGTCTAGGAGGGCCCGATGGCGAGTCGCACCTTCCAGCGCCGCCGGTGGCCCGCGGAGATGCGCCCGCCGGCTCCGTCCAAGGTCGCGCCCTTGAACTGTGCCTCGGGCAGCCCGTGCACTGGCCCCGTGCACTGCAGGTCGTCTGCAGCCAGCTGGTCGTGGAGCTCCCTGGCCATGCCCTCCACCGCGTCATCATTGGTGCGCGCGACTCCCGCGTTGTCGACGTAAATGGCCGAGCCGAATCGCCCGCGATGTCAGGCGCCTGCTTCTCGCCCTGCAAGAAGGCCCCAGCTGGCGCGCCAGCTCGAAGGGCACTGGCAGTCACCATCGCCTGGTTGAATAATAGAACGCCCACGACTGGCCCATGGCCTTGACCCCAGGCGCGGGGTCGAATGGCCGTCGCACGCCAGGCCCAGCTTGGAACGCAGCTGCGGATCTGCGCGGTGAACTTGGCGGGCCGACGCGCGACGCGCGAAATGGCCCCGCGCGCCCGGGGGAGCCTCGCATCTACGAGAAGCATTCTCGACGTCCACCTGCGACGAAACACGGTCGCACTCGATGCCGATCCCCACTGGCGCCCGCTAAGCAGGCGTCGGCGAGCGCGAGCAAGCTGGCTCGTCAATCAACGCAGTCACCGCGTGGGTCTCTAATACCATGCGCAAGCGTCCGCTCTTTCTTGCCGCGGAAAAAATACCCACGGTGGCACGCGGGTCGGAGGCTGACAAGCTCGGCCAGCTGCATCTGCGCGATGAAGTCGGCGTGGCGAGCCTGGCCCTTGACGAGGGCTGGATCGCTATCAGGTCGACTTGCTCGAGTAGTCGAGGAGGACCCATCGTAGAGATCTTCTCGCAAGTTAACCAATCTGGACTTCCAGCGTTCTGAGGCCAAGCTAGACAGCGCCTGCTCGCCGTCCGCCATGCCGCCCTTCGCAGGCAATGAGACTAAGTCAGGCTGAAATCTGCGCCCAGCGACTGCCGCCGAGCTCCGCAAGGCCTTTCGCGGCGGTCCCTGCGGGGGATAGCCATGTACATTTCGATGAGGATATTCACGCTGCGGCCCTGCGCCTCTGAGACGCCTAGTCCAGGTAGAAAAGTAAATTGGCAAACGTGCATCTCGTTAAGGCACTCCACCGTATCCTTACACATGCCGACGGGCGCGAGCACGACGCCGTGCCGCGCGGCACCCTGGGGGCTGAAAGCGGAAAAACCTCCCCTGGGAAACGTAGGTGCCATCGGCAGCATCTCTCGCGCCACGGGCATTCCCTGATTTCGGCGACTGGACGTGCAACCAGCCGCTTGCTCTCTCAACTCTTGCTGGCCCCCGCTCCGGCCCCGCTCGCGGCCTCTTCGTGGGCCGTGGCGTCAGCTCTCGCGGTGGCCGCATCAACTTGGCTCGCGCCTTTGCCGCCCTCCGGGCCTTGTAGAAGCCCAGCCGCGACATCGGTCAGCGGCGGCGCCCAGTGCTGCTAGTGCGGGGCCTGGCAGGCCTGCAAGCGCCTCTCTTCGTTCAGATCCCTAGACTCCTTCGCGATAGTCGACTCCCGGTGGAGCTCAGACGCCGCGAACTCCTCAAGCAGCGGGCAGAGCGTCAGGTGGTCACGAGTCTCACCGACCCCTCGGCACGAGAACCTGCCCTGCTGGATGGAGTCCACCTGTCCGTCTGTCTTGAGAAGCCTATTCTTGTAGCGACACTAAGCCAACTGGGCACGGCGCAGCAACAGCAGCTCGATGAAGGACATCTCTGGTGCACTAGAATGATTAAATGTCAAAGCGTATTCTACTGCCTTCATCGCCGTTTCATGATATGACACGCCAAGGTCCGCGATTGACAATCCACACGTCGATGTCCACCAAGACTGTCGAGCACGAGGGTGGCACTTCGCTGTTCTCGGCCTGGTCAGAAGCCACGAATCCCGACTGATCTCAGATGTCAGACCCCCAACAATCTTGAAGGCTGTCAAGCGCTTCCCGGAGCTATCGAATGATCTCCTCGATGCGTGCGTCGAAATCCACGTTCTTGCCGCCCTCTTCGACTTTGGGCTCGCCCCGATCGATGTCCGAGATGAACTTCACGACGCCGGCTTGCAGCAACATCCCGCCGTCGCCGCTCAGGGCCCAGCCATCTCCCGTAGGCGGGTCCTGCGGGAGCGCCAACGCGCCGCTGAGGTCGTACCAGTTCTTCAATGGAGCCGGGAGCCTGCCCGCGCCGAAGATCAGCTTGAATTCGCCCCCGATCTTGAGCGCGGTAGCCTCCTCCGAAAACGCCACGGGCAGCGCCGCTCCTGCTGGCGCTGCAGCGGCATCGCCAGCGTCGTCACCATCACGAACCTGGGCGCGAGCTCCTCCGTTTCCACGTCGTCGTCGATAGCTGGAACCCTCCGACACAGATTCTGAGCCTAGCGCGCTGGGCCAGCCAGATCATCTGTCCAAATTCGAAGACATAGCCCGCCTGCGCTCCCAAGTACTGGTCGCGGATCGGGGTTCCCTCGAGATCGCACGGCGCGAGCCCGATCAACGGCGGGCAGCTCAGGTCCTGTGGGTCGATGTCCCAAATAGTGTCATGACGCAACGCATCGGCGATGGTTTCGTCAGGAGTTTCGCCCATGATCCGTGTCAAGGTCGCGCCGTTGCAGCTCTCGATGATGAGTCTCTTGTGCCAATTCATGCGGTCTGTACTGTAGCGAACTATGGCCTCGCGCCCCCGCTTCAAGAAGCGGTTCGCCAGCGACGGTATGGCGGCGCCAGTAGACGGTATTGCGGTAGGCGACGACCACTAGCCCGACAGCGAACGTGACGTTGCTGAACGCGTACGGCGAATTAAAGTAGGAGTTCTGCACAGCACAAGTCAGCGCAGACGATGCTAGGGGGCTCAGGGTATGCCACACAAGCTTCGCAGCTTCACAAAGGGTGTAAGATGACGTGAACAACATACACCTCAGGCGTCGCCGCCCCGAAAAGACTTGAGCATACACATTGCGGCCAACACCGAAGGAGAGACACGTTCAGAGAACTATAGCATATCTATACATACGCATCTATGCATATACAAGTGTTTATATCTGTATACACACACGGACATGCACCGTGCACATGTACACACCCATAACTA